TCTGTTATTTTTCGTTATATTCAGATATGAATATTACCCACTAATAAAAAGAAATAAGTATAAGGTTGAAGCTGACAACTTCCTACCGACTGCTTTCAACCACTTTTCACCGCGACTATTCTTATTCGATTTGTGAACAGCCCTTCAGTTAATTTCGAAAAAAAAGACTCTAGAACCAAAAAACTTAAAATGTCAATGTACCTTTAAAAAGGCGAAAAAACAGACAGAAAATCTTTTTTCTCTCTTAAAATAAAGAATATTTATCAAGTAAAAAAAAGGCATAAAAAGATGCTTCCACTTACTTGAATCAACTGTCAGAGCAAAATTTCTAAAATGTAAACAAAAATTCAAAGGAAATCCTTCGATTTTTTTCATTATTTGTAGAAAAATGAAAAATACCTGTTCTTCTTCAGTCTGATTTTTTATCAGTATAATGTGCTCATTAATAATTTGCTTCGAGGTGATACTCATGAAGTTCTAATAGGAAGTTGTAACCGGTGTTGTAAACCAAGTCGGATATGAAGACGGTTACTCAACGACGGCATTGAATTGAAGTTGTGCTATATCGTAAACTGACGGAAGTAAGAAATATTGACCACTGAATTTCAACCCAGTTTCTCAATGATTATATGCTGGCCGTAGTACCTGAAGGTTCTAGGTTCGATTCCTGGCGAGGCGAGGTCATAGGTTCACACTGTTGAGGAGTCCATACTAGGATGGAACAAATGTCTAATCCCCCCCCCAGGGTTTCCAATGTTTCTCTAATTCATATCAGTCCATAATGAATATCAACCTGAAATCAATCAATAAATCCCCACAAATCTCCAAATTGAAATGTTTTTTTTCTCTTCTCTGATATGATAGAGTTCAGCGCAAAAAAAAACTGCTGAAGAAGGATAAGAGGATTACGTATATGAAATCTCCCTACTATCCACAACTGATTTCATATAATTTGAACACAAATCAATTATTTATTGGTAAAAGAATGAGTGTTATATTTCGACTGTTGGTCAGTATTTCTATTTCAGTTGAATAACGTGGCTACTAATCACTGCTTATTTCTCATGTTGACTTCACTTTTACTAGTAAGTATGCCTTTATTACATGGGATTAGGTTGTTCAGCGCCAAGAGAAGTGTGAAATTTTAGAAACTAACAGTACGTACTGTATACTCAGCTGTTTTTTCTCCAATACACAACTGTAAACTGTTAGCTAGGTGTGTGTGTGTGTGTGTGTGTACTTGATTATGAAGTTTCACACTACTTGTTGATACTGGATAGGTTAAAAATGTAACAACACAACTTTTTCGGTGCCATTTTTCTCTTCTTTTTTTCTTTTACGTTTCCTCGTACTTTTTTTTATTATTTTCAAGATGCTATCCAGCTAAATACTGTTCTGATTCATTTTCTCGTTGTCTATTTCTAACTGTGCATTTTTTGCATCTTAGCGTTGGAATTAGGAAAGATATATGAGAAAATAGAGAAAATGTAAACAAGTTAATTGTTTTCCCTTAACATTATCATACATTTCAGTCAGTAGACAGCTATGTTTGGTAAGTATTGTGTACAAATATTGATGATGGTGTTGATACCATTTCTTTCTGAGTTTGATATGATTCAAACAAAATGGAGAAAAGCCAAACCCCTTATTTAATTCTCTTTTGAATGTACTAAAAATGATTTATGCATTTTTTTTTTCCTTCCTTTCTGTTAAAGCAAGAGAATAAAGAATGGTATAATCATGATAGGTTTGATTTTGTTTTCATTTGAACTTCTAAAGTTTCAATGATGAAAATACATTTGTGAATGAACATAGATTGAAGGTAGAACAAGGCGCGCGCACCTACACACACACATACACACATATACATTGGAAACTGTCTCTAAATTTAGTATTCTAGTAAATCATATTTAGCAATTGTTTCTTTTCTTGATTGTAGTAGTTGTTAGTGACATATTTCAATAGTTCCTTTTTCCACTGGTATTTATGATGTTGATTTCATTTACAAAAAGTTCACTTCTAGAGACCATTTTTGTTGAAAACTTGAGTGTAATGCAATTCTCATCGACTACTTGCATATTTGATGTATTAACCACAGGTATAATATGCAAAGATTGATATTACAGCCTACTTGGACTACCTTAACCACTGTAAGTGGAGTATACTTCAAGCTGATAACTCATTGGTTAAAGGTTAGGTGCATGAAATCGATAAACGACAATCTCATTGTTATTAAACATAAAGTGTTGTATTAATGATGGATCGTGGCTAGCAGTGGGGTCCAGGATGCACATTTCGTCCTATTTGGGACTCGTCAGCTGGATATGCGATCCATCATTAATATGATTAGAACATAGGTAATATCGAAGCATCTGCAAGCAAGCCCATATGGATAAAGCTCTGGCGTTTGGAGCGATCACTCTCGAGTCCGAATCCCAGTGGGAACAACATCACTCACTGGGAAGCAGGTACATCCAGCTGATGAGTCCCAAATAGGACGAAATGCGCACCCTAGATTCCACTGCTAGCCACTATCCATCATTAATATAGTTATATAATAACAAGGCATCCGTACAGGAGCCCATATGCCAATAGAGACCGATCAATTCGGTCCAATCAACAATGGTATGATATAAAACAATTATACTAATAAAGCGTTGTGCATAGAAATTCATTTCAACTTATATTTTATTGTAACCTAGACCCTATGGGTTTAAGTCATGCCACAAATCAAGCCTTCATTTCACCTTCAATCATCACTATCCTTTTTCCTTCCAACTACATAAGGTGCTCGGACTGAACTTTGAAGACAAAGTGCCTTGAAACTGTATGATACTTCTGCATGTAAGACTCATCAGCTGAATTTATCTCATCTTAAAGTGTTGATATTTCCATTGAAACCTAAAATCACTAGCCGTTAGTAGTTTAAATGCTGCAACTTTTAGGTTACTGAGGTATTTTCGTTACCTGTCTTTCAAAAAGCGGTGGTTGTTATATAGGCTTTAGTAACTCAGCATCCTAGTATACAGTGGTCTTCAGATGTGAGTTCATGATGACAGCCATCCCCTAAATCACCTTAATTACTTTCTTCTTGATGAATTCATCTACTTTTCAATGGTACACAGTAGGTAACTTTCACAGTCGACTGAATCACAAATAAGGATGGATCCTAACCGATATTGTAAGAAGGCTAAACTATCTCATAAGTTGACTTTAGTTGGAACTGACAAAGCAAGCCAGTGACTGGGTGGCTAGATAGTCTCATCAAGACCTGAATGCTCCACATCATACTTCCAATTGGATCAAAGATGTTCTTTGCAAGGGTCTTCATTCATGAATGAAATCAGACATCCACCACTTACTAGTTTTCAGTTATTCTTGAAATTCGAAGTTATCTATAAATCCTAAATCTTGTTGTAATCATACGTATCTAAATTATTCAAATTCATTTTAAAAAGTCACCTACTGAGTATGTATGAGTTTATCTTTCAGCTAGTTAAAAAGAATCAGTTACACGCATCTACAATCTTTAAGTAATTCATATACACCATACTAACTTATAGTTTTCGATCGTCACCGTGTAAAATTTGCGAAGAAGACACTTCTTGACCGAACTACTCAAGTTTTAAATGGCTCATGAACAAATGATTTTAAGATAAACATGAATCTTTGTAATGTATCATTTTCAGTATCTGATGAAGATTAAGTACCTTTTCATTAGTAAAATTCATTATTGTACTCACTAGATAAGGTAAAAAACAAAAATTGTAATACTTTTCTCAGTGAGATGAATATGCCAGCAACATAAAGTAAGAAATTATAGTTTTGATTATTTATGATGAAATTCACTGAACTCAGATGATCTATAGGAATCTTCGCATTATAAAACTGTCTAAGGTCCAGTTATACAATTCCTCTGCTTAAAATCTCATCAATTTTGTCAATTGATTAATTACTATGCTTACCTTCACTAGATAAATAAGGTTGTGTATCATGGAAACTTTTCAGGTGAACACTAATCGACAAATAGTTGGAATTGATGATGGATAGGGGCTAGCAATAGAATTCAAAACGCTCTTTTCATCCTATTTAGGACTTTTCAGCTGGGTATACCTGTCTCCCAATGAATGATTTTGTTCCTACTAGAATTCACTTCAAACCTCAGAGTATTATCCACTAAACTACTGAGTCACGATAGATACTCCTTTTGCAACAGGTATAGTATAGTTTTTTGATATTATGGCTATTGTGACTCAGTGGCCTAGTGAATAACGCTTCCGCTTATGAATCGATTGGTTCTAGGTTCAAGTCCCTCTGGGAATAACATCACTCACTGAGAGGCAGATATATCCAGCTGACGAGTTTCAAATAGGATGAAGTGTGCATCTTGGATTCCACTGTTAGCTACTATTCATCATTATTATTAAATGCTGAAATTACAAGCAATACCAAGGCATTCATACAGGAGCCCATATGCAAATGATGACTGACCGATTTGGTCCAATCAACGACGAAAATTCACAAACTAAGACGTTAAAAATTAGTTAGAATGTTTGGGTTATCAAATTTAAAATTTCCGGTGTTTTCAAAAAATTGGTCATTAAGATATGTTAAAATATTTCTGTAATCTGACTGTACAGTCCCTGAAGGTAAGGTTAATATTGAAATACATTCTAGGACATCTTCGCAACACAAGGTTGTTTGTAACCAGCATGTGATTGAATCTTGAATTACTCACGTAAAACAAACATGGAAGTAGAACCGTTAGACTAAGTAAAGCATTTTTTGCTTGTTCATTGTTCAACTGGCTATAAGTACCAGGAACTAGAAAGTAAGTTATTTTTTTCCTTCTTTTTAAGTATTTAGTGTACTTCGTTTCCACAATAAGTAGATATTTGTCAGCATAGTCAAGATACTACTGTTTTATCACATAATTAGACTACTGATTACCATTGTTGTTTATCTTCATCCACTCTCTTCTTTCTGTCCACATTTTTTAGTTGGTATTTCCGAAGCATATCAAGAAAAGACTCAGAACGTCTCTTATTATTGAAAGGAAATATTCGAGGAACATTTCTTGTTCGAGCCAGTGAAACAACAAATGGTAAACAGTTTTCTGTTATATATGCGGTTGTTATTGATCAGTGTTCATATCAAATTTTGTTTTTAAATTGTTTCTTGTTTTACTTATGTTTTTGGAACGTATTTTGATTTCAAAGGATGTAAAGTTATGTCTCAGCAGTTTTGGCAGTAGACTCACTGTCAAAGTGTAACGCCTACTCCTTCAACTACTATGGTAAGTACAGGTGGACAGCAATATGTGTGAGTTTCATTGCTAATCCACTAGTCTTTGCGGTAGTCAGGCAGTGTGTCTATTTCCGACAATAGAAGAAGCAAGTTAGGAGTTTAATGACTAAGATTTTATGTTCATGGTTTTCAAATGAAGATGAAGATGGGAAAAGTCTTTTCTTCATACTGAGCGAGATTTTCTGCGTCTTTGAATCGAGGTCTAACTTCGAAATTTTTATTCTTCTGAATTCAAATTTTGGCATAGACACACTCAAACTGTATGTAGTCAATAAGGGTGACAGTATTTAGATGTTTTCTGTAGTAGAAGAATACATTATAACCATCATGCTTTCGACAGCGTCGACCGAGAAGTAATGTGGAAACTGCTTCAACACTATGTTTATAGTGCCACAAACGTTTATTAACCTCATTCAACAGCAATATGATGCCACATGTCAAGTGGTTCACAATAGAAAGCTCAATGACACCTTTGAAGTGAAGACAGGAGTAAGATAAAGCTACCTACTATCACTGATCATCTTCTTAATTGTAGTGGACTGGATCATGTAAGAAACTGTGAGAAGTGAGATGATGGTCATACGCTGTTTAAACGATGAAAATACCCTAGAATATTTGGATTTCGCCCATGATACTTTGTTTCCAATGTCGCACAAACTTGAAGATATACAGGCAAAACCAATAGGTTGACAGAAGAGGCAGCAAAAACGGGACTTCAAGTGAATATAGAGAAGACAGAGGTGATGAAGATATCCAACCAACAACAACACCAGTCCCCATTAACGGGAGCAATCTAAGAGAAGTAGTCTCTTTCACCTACCCAGGCAGCATCGTTTCAACTACAGGCGGCACAGATGAGGATGACAAAACCAGCCAGGATCTGATAAGCCAGACAGGTCTTCCTGCACTATTCTGAGATCAGATTGGAGATCTACTGCACTCAACATGAAGAACAAAATCCGGATTTTCAATACTAAGTCAGTCAAGTCAGTGCTTCTATATGATGCTTCAGAAACTTGGCGCCTTACGGAAGGCATTTCCAACAAACTGCAGGCATTCATCAACACCTGCCTACGCTCGATACTGAAGATGGAGATCAGATGGCCAGATAGAATAGACAACAAGGAACTCACTCTGGCTGGCAAAGAATCAATTAAGAACCCATCATCCAACAATTATGCATGAGAAAGTGGAGATGGATTGCATTGGACATACACTGAGAAGACCATTTGGGGACCAGGCCAAACCTTCGAGTGGAAGCCAAATGGGAAATGACGAGTTAGGCGTCCGAGGGTGACATGGAGGAGATGGTATGAGGAAGAAATGATAGCTTCTAGGCAATCATGGAGCCAGGTTAAAAAGACAGAGTTGAACAGTGTGCAATGGAGACGTGCTACTGAAGCTCCGTCTTCCACTGGGAACCCAAGGGACAAATAATAATAATAATATAACCATGTCAGTGAAAGAGCGTTACTTTAAATCATGACTAAAGTATTCTGATTTAAATGAAGCTAGAATTTCGCAGTTTTACTGAGCTCCAAACCTACCAAGAATTAACGGTGTATCACTATTCTCCCGCTGTTGTCTCACAGTGGATTCATGTCATTGCATAAGGGAGATATCATACAGAACAGACATACAGACGTTCTTTCATTGATAAGACTTGCTTGATTACTTGATGACCTTCTGATTATCCTTGACTAGCTAATCATTATCTGATTAAATCTTCAAGGTTACGCTACCTTTGTCATTCTTTTGCGAATCAATGAGAAGTTATTTTGCACTGTGGAAGATACATTCAGTTTGTAGTCCCGTTCTCTAGACTAACACTTCTTTCAACCATATATTAGTCACTTTATCTCTAAGAAATCGTATGTTCAACAGATTCCAATTGAGTAGTTTCTGCTGAATCGATTAATTAGAAGATATTTCTCCACTGAATGACGAAATTCTTGCCATGAGATTGTAGGGTGCTGCTTGTGTTACTTTTATGTAACGCCTGACTAACCCTACTTAACTCAATGTGCTTTAGTACCTGCTTAGTCAGTATCTTACTTAACGTGTAGGTACTGATAACGAAACATAAATCAAAAGGACTACCATTCAGAAATATATTAAAAGGAGCAATATATTTAATTAGAATAAATATGATAGTGCTTATCAGAAGAAAAGTTTATCCAGCTTATCTGACTAGTATGCCTTAGCTAGGGACTCTGACGATGTACGTGTTAACCAACGCAAAGGGAGCGCAAAGTGGCGTCGAAGCCTGCTCGGATGTATGCTCGTTAAAAAAAAACTTAAAACACCTTAAGCATCAGGAGGCAAGGAAGACGTTTATTTAGTTAATATAGTGTAGGTTATTTATTTTAGCCCTAGTTGCATTCTGGTGCCAGGAAGGTCCACTACAAGATATTGGGACCTTTCTCGGTTTACACTAGAGAATTAACAGCGTTCATTTCTTTATTAGAATGAAACGAATATCCTCCGGTTACTACAATTCATTCTGATACGTGTACAATATATAGGAGTTATGAAAACAATGGCACCCTTTACAGCAAATCACTCATAGTTTATTCTTCATTACTAACATATATTATTCCATCCAAGAAGGGCTAATAAATCTGGGGCATCGAAGAAATACATGAAATCTCTTATTAGCTATAATGAAAGATGATTTTAGAGCAATACTTTGAGGCTATATCTTAAGCTACTTTTTATCGTTTACTACAGAAATATGTCAAGGTATACTAAACGCGGTCTTTGTTCCTTAATTGAAACGCTTTTTTGCCTTAAGCATACGTTACTAGTTAATGGCATTACTAAACATGGTTTCACGTAGAAACGCTCATGGTCATCGTGGGTATATTCACTGAACCTGAAATCTCATATGACTGGATTATCTGCTAACATCGACTATTGATCAAACTCTAGTTTGAGAATCTTCACAAGTAAGTTGGATGACGTTGAGAAATACCACTCATTGGATTTTATACTATTGACTTAACAGTAAACTGTAGGGATTTGGTTTCGAATGAGGTGAGGTATGTTCATTGCTAACCGGTTTTAGTGTAGGATGAAATACCTAGTCTACTTATACATTTTATTATCATTATTATTATTAGTATTAATGGGACACAACATAGGCACTAAGAGATACGCTATGTAAAATAATAAAGGAGCTTTCTGAAGACCAGAAACGGGAGAGAGGAAAGAGACAAAAATAAATAAGGTTTATTAAAGAAGTAGTTCCAAAGAAGCATTCACTACTCTGACCCTGCTTTTCATTATTAGAAGAAGCAAAAAAGGAGCATGATTGCTACTGGTTTCGATTCTGGGACATGTCTGCTATTGTCTCAAGCCACTGATTTATATGACTTATATGCTCATCATCATACACCATCCAAGGGGTATGAGACACCTACATGTGCTAACTCAACACGCCTATCCATCATCCTACGACACCACGTCAAACACAAGCCAGCTCTTCATTTGTCTCATCCATTCTCAGAGTAAGCGGATAGTGAGCTGTGTGGGAGACACTGAGACGATGTGCATAGCCTACGTCCCAGTCACCGAAGCCAATTTTATAGGAGTACTTTACGCTTTGATGGTACAAAACAGGTATCGTACTTATGGACACCAACCGACTGAGTGCAATTTGAACAACCTGTATGCTATCACACAGTAAAAGGACATCGTACGGATACTTGCAGTTAAAAGGTCTTTACCCAGCACCAAATCTACATCACCACCGGCACTTTCTTCAAGACAGTCTGTAAATGTCACCATGGCTAAGTTAACGAGAAATGAGTAAACCATAAGGCACTTCTTAACCCCCTGTTGGTTTGGAAAAATGTAGATAGGTGGTTGTTTACCCTTACCTTGCCCGAGATGAAGTATAGGACTTTCAAAAAGTTAACTAACTTCTCAGGGCCACCTGTCTATACAGACAATCGTAAGGTACAGCCCTGTCCTACGATTCGAAGGCAGCCTTAATATCAAGGATTACAACGATCGATGACCTACACTATATGTGATGCTGTTAGAGCATCTGGTGGGGTGCGGACACATATTAATGCATCTACTACCTGAATAAAGCTGGGTCTACTTCTCGCAGATCAGATTCCAGGCGTTTTGCACAGCCTTTGAAGTATGACAGCAGGTAGAACTTTAAACGCTACTGGTAGTATACTGACACCTCGGTGGTTATCAAATGCAATACAACAATGACTTTATTCCGGAGTGATGAACGCAGTCTGACGTACCTTCCCAAGCAATGTAGTCAGTTCCCTGACTACAGTCGAATCTTCATTTTCAAAGAGTTGTGGTTAGGTTGTCTAGGCTGGGTGGTTTATGGCGTCTTAGTATTTGGATTTCCTTACGGACCTCCGCTTCGTAAGGTGGGAAGTTATTCAAGTCACTTGTATGTGGGTCTCTGAAATATAGTATGTATCAATAGTGAGACTTCCAATAGTCTTAGCCAAACTTTTCTGTTGTCCTATCTGCATCAACGTCCGAAGGTGACTAGCTCTTGCGTTGCGTGTAGTTTCAGAATAGTTGTATCAGATGTCGTACTGAAGGATGGCTTTCTGGAAGCAACTGTTTGGCGACTCAAGACGGTACAACCAGACCAGAATTTTAATTGGTGACGGGCACTGAGCGAAACAAAGGTAATATATAAAGATAAGTTTGGAAATGATGACGGAAAGACATTATAGTTCAGATGTAAAAATACCGGTTGAATATAGATGGACTGTGAGAAGAAATATGTTTACATAGTAAATATTGTTTCATGCG